TTCATATAAAACCGAACCAGAGTCAGTTTGAGTGTTTTTATTGTGAGTCTGCAGCTCAGCTTCCGTTTGTTTTCTTTGTGACACCAAACCGTGTGTGTGTGTGTGTGTGTGTGTGTGTGTGTGTGTCAGAGGGGAGGGGCTCCACCAGCTGAGCTCAGATTTCAGCTGCTAAACCCGAAGCGGAGTGAACCATCAGGCTGCGGGGAGGACCGCTGTGATTATCAGACAGACAGACAGACAGACAAACGGACAGGTTTATAACAGACAGAGAGACAGACAGACAGACAGACAGACGGACAGGTTAATAACAGACAGACAGACAGACAGACAGACAGACAGACGGACAGACAGCTGCTCATACAGCCACACATTCAAGAAGTGGGTCATGAGTGTTGTTATGTTCAGGCCGCGGTGCAGCCCTTCCTCCCCCCCCGCCCTGTGTGTGAATGGACTCGTCCAGCTCCTGATAAGGCTGCAGCAGGTGGGCGGGGTTGTAGTCAGAGCAGCTCAGAGCTCAGAGATACTGGCGCCGCTCGGAACCGAACTAAAGTAGCCTCGCCACATATTTGAGCTCCTGAAGCCTCCGCAGCTCCTCGGGTCGCCCTCAGCGCTGCGGTCACACTCGGACCGGACCGGACCCCAGGAGGCGACACTGCAGCCCGGAGCCCAGCTGCTGCTGCGGGGGGAGGACGAGCAGGCGATGCAGCAGCCGAAGCCAGAGGTCAAGAAGAAACGCGGACGGACGGTGAAGAGGTAGAAGCCGCCGGAGGGGGGGGCGTCCGAGCCCCGAACAGCCGCTACGCTGCAGCCGAGACGATGTGAGGAGCGGAACATGTTCTCAGAGATGATGTGCAGGAGGTTCTGGCAGCAGGAGGTGAAGGAGGCGCCGCTCCGGGCCGAGCGCAGGAAGCCCGGCCGGGCCCGGAGCTGCAGGGGGCGGCTGCAGGGGCCGCGGGCCGCAGGGCGAGGCCGGACCGGGGGGGCCCGCGGCCAGCAGCAGCGGCCGGACAGGCTGTCGCTGCGACCCGTCAACGTAAAGGGGAACCGGGCCAGGGGCATGCGGGCCCCCAAGAACACCAACCAGTTCCTGATGCACGAGAAGTACCAAATGCTGCACATGAGGTCCGACTCGGTGGGCAGCGACAGTGGCTGCAGCTCCGACAGCGACGCGGAGCTCACCGACATGGACTCGTACCTGGGAGTCCTGGAGAACGCCAGGGGAGCCCTGCTGGACAGTCCGAACCCGCACGGGTCCGCATCGGCGCCCGGACCCTTCCTGGTTCTGCAGGAGGGTCTGGTTCTGCAGGAGGACAGCATGCAGTACTTCCCGTCCGAGGACGACCTGCTGCAGAGCCAGAACTTCATGCAGAAGGACTTCGTGGAGTTCTGCGACGTCCTGACGCCCTGAAGGGAACTTTCAGGATCTATTTTGTTCTCAGCGGGTCTGGAGGAAGTCGAGCGGTTCTGGTCGTGAAGGATCTGCTCACAGGATCAGATCAGTCACCAGCAGAACTCAACTTTTTGAAGCTCGTGGCGTGTTTTTAACTCCTGCTGCCTTTTATGAGACTCGAGACCAGAACCGCGGACTGTTGGGTCGCTGTGGTTCCGCTCAGACTGGCTGCTGACAGTGTTTCTACACGGTTGTGTGCTCAGTGTGTGTGTTTGTGCGTCTGTTGTTGTTGTTGTTGCTCACACAAAGACAAAAGGGCTGGATGGGGGAGTGGGCCCCGGCAGCCAATCAGCAGCCAGCTGGTGGCTCAGGCTGCAGCTGATTGGCTGATGCAGACTGTCATTAATAAAATAACAAAAAATAAAATAAAAAAACTTTTACTGTACAGACTGAAATAAAAATGAGAAAATATGTTCTGATTGGAGTGTTTCTGTGCCGAGTGGAGAGTTTTTATGAGTCTAAGTCCAACATCAGCTCCTGTGAAGGCAGCAGGAAGCACCGAGGCTCCGGGCAGAACCGCTTTACAGCAGAGAAGAAGAAAAAAAAAAAAGAGTCTAAAAGACTAAACAATAATTAGTATTATACACGCACTGAGTCCTCTAAAGGTGGAAAACTACTATGTTGTCAAATTTTTCCTTTTTAATTTGCAGATATTCACCCATTCTACTCTATTTTAAAGCACTATCAGAATAATTATAGAACTTTACACGTCCAATGTAAAGTAACCTTAAACCTGGTAGCAGCTGTTCTTCCAACAGCAGCTCCAGGCCTCCTGCTGACGGATGTGAGGCAGTGGATCAGGTGAAGTGGGTTATGTAAGAGCAGTGGGCCGATCACGCCCACTCAGGACCAGTAACCCGCTTTGTGTTTGTGTGTCAGACTCTAATAACAGCTCTCAGGCATCGCTGAACGATCACAGAGAGGACGACAGCAGCAAACTGATTTAACATCCTCAGAACTACGGTACCGTGCAAACACAGGAGAGCATTTTGTTCTCATTTTGTGTGAATGCTCAGCTGCATTTGTCTGGTGTTCACAGCTCCATAGTGACAGTAGTCGACTGTCCGTGGAGTCATTGTAGGAGGACGACCACTGCAGCCCTGATCAGTGCTGCTATGGCTCCTTCTGGACCTCCTGGTTCCTGCTCACACTGGGCTGCACTGGGTTCTAGTTGCTCACTGATCTTCTGGATCCTTTTCCATCTTTGTCCAGTCTCTCAGTCAGATGTTTCTCCTCCTCTGTTCAGGTCTTCTCCATGTGGAGCCATGATGCAGACATAGATAGACACAATCCACAGGTCCAGAACTGAGAAGGTTCTGCTGCTCTCAGCTCGTTGTAGAACCATGTTCATGCAGGTAGACTGATGGGAACCACAGCTGGACTCATTGTGTTTGTAAAGAATGTGTTCCTGACGGTTCATCAGATGAAATATTCAACATTAATGTTGTAAACACTTAACGTGATGCCAGTCACCTCCAAGAACAAATGAAGAACGACTTCAGCTCGCTTCAATCAGCTGATCGCCTCCGATTACAGGCTGTAGATCCTCACTGAGGCTGGTACACACACACACAAGTACACACAGGTACACACACAGTGTTACACACAAACACACAGGTACACAAACGCACACACACACACACACACACACACGGTGCAGCAGATTACAGCAGACCTGCTAGCTCTCCCTCTGCTAGCTGTGTTGATGCTAAGCTCAGACATAAAGGTTCTAACTAGAACCACAGAGGAACCGTCTGAGTTTCACAGAGAACCTTTCAGCAGTGGGTTCTCTGTGACTGTTTCCCTGAACAAGTTCTCAGAGGAACCTCTGAGGTGCTGTAGAGAACCACTGTCACTCTGAACACCTCGTTCTGTCATGTCAGAAGGTTTCTGGTCATCTTCAGGCCCGTCTGGTTCTATGCTGACAATAGGACTGGATCAGTGTGATTCCTGGGTTCCTTCCTTGAGAACACATTTAATATTGTGGGTTCTGGACTGTTGGTCAGACAGAACAACGTGTTCTAAGATGCCAGTTAGTTCAACTGTAAGTTAATCTGCAGGTTAATCAGTAATTAGGACATAACCATCATTACCTGCCTCCAAACACAAGCTAAGAACCTTTAAGAACCACACAGAGCAGGTCGGGAACCGTCCCCTGAACAAACAGGTTCTGCTCCAGTGTTTGGCTCTCTGACAGTGTCAATGAATCTATACTTGTGAGGACCCTGGGCTTGTATTGAATAACCTCCAGCTGCCCAGTACGGACGGAACAAAGGGTCGGACCTGTTCTGGTTCGGTTCTGAAACTTCACCTGGTCGGGCGTCCCTACAGCTCATCTGGCTGAGCGGGCGACCCATGAACAGGGCTGTAGCTCCAGCTCATGACCCTCTGCTGCAGGTCTCTCCTCGTTATTCTCCCCTTTCCTGTCTCTCCACTGCTCTGAATAAAGGCACAAAAATATATTTAAAAAAAACAAAAACTCCCCCCCACACACGCACACACTCTCTCTCACACACACACTGAGAACAGATGAGCGTTGTGGTTAAAGGGCAGGAGTCCAACAACATGTACAGACAGAGTCAGAGCAACGGTTGGAAAGATCTCTCACACACACACACACACACACACACACACACACCTCTGTTGTGTGCATGCATATGTGTGTGTGTGTGTGTGTGTAGTTTGACGCTGCAGTTGTGTCTGATTGTGTTTCTCAGTCTGACTAAACTGGTTCGCTGTTAAACACAAAGTGACACTAAGACGAGCAGAACTATGTGCACACTGTTGGATCAGCGTTAATGACTGATGTTAATTAGTAACACAGCTAAACGAAGCTGCACAGTTGTGTAACCGACACTCGTTTAAGTCAGACCAGATGAAGTCATCTGATCCGTCTCAGCTGGAATCGCTGTAACTCCAGTTTCTCTAACTTCACACAAACACAGAGTGTAAAACTTGTGGTTCCTTCTCCGTCTTTCCTCTCTAAGTTCTGCTGGAGGAGAACCAGACGTCACAACACCAGGTGCTTCAGAACAAAATCATCTTCACACACAGCATGACCAGAAGGAACCGTCAGAACGTCTGACAGTCCCTGAATGCATTGTTCTGAGACGCTGCTCCATCTGGAGAACCGTCCAAACCTGAGCCCAGAACCACAACATTTCATCAGAACCACTTTATTCAACATGTCGTCTAAACACGAGTCAGAAACACAGCGTGTGATGAGCCGGGTTCTGTAAAAACAACAACTACGTCCACATGAAGAATCTGTGTTCTCCAAACCTTGGACTTTAAAATCACCCAATAGAAGGACGAGGAGGACGAGGAGGAGGAGGAAGAAGAAGAAGAGGAGGGGAGGAGGAGGAGGAGGAAGAAGAAGAGGAGGAAGACGAGGAGGAAGAAGAAGAAGAAGAAGAAGAAGAAGAAGAAGTAGAGGAGGAGGAGGAACAAGGAGAACCAGAGGAGGAGGAAGAGCAGGAGGAGGAAGAGGAGGAACAAGGAGAAGGAGAAGAAGAGGAGAAGGAAGAAGAAGAGGAGGAGGAGGAGGAAGAAGAGGAGGAGGAGCAGTTTAGTTCTTAGTGGAAAAGTACAGCAGACTCTGAGGGGGCGGAGCCTTCTCTGCTGAGTCGGCAGCAGCCAATCAGAAGGCAGATAAACACAGCGATTGACGTGAGGTTGAGCTCAGTGTTGTGATGAAGCTTCAGACTGAACTCTGGAGGGAAACACTTCCATCACAGAGAAAGTCCATCATCTCTGAAGTCAGCTGATTTTGAAGCAGGTTTAATAGAACGGTTCTGATCCGCAGCTCAGAGCTCATTCATGTATTTATGTGTTTAAAAAACTTCAAACTGTGAGCTGAGGGAGACCAGAGGGACCAACACACTGGATCAGGAAACCCCTGCAGCCCTGACCAGTGCTACTATGGCTCCTTCTGGACCTCCTGGTTCCTCCTCACACTGGGCTGCACTGGGTTCTAGCTGCTCACTGATCTTCTGGATCCTTTTCCATCTCTGTCCAGTCTCTCAGTCAGATGTTTCTCCTCCTCTGTCCAGGTCTTCTCCATGTGGAGCCATGATGCAGACATAGATAGAAACAGTCCAGAGGTCCAGAACTGAGAAGATTCTGCTGCTCTCAGCTCGTTGTAGAACCATGTTCATGCAGGTGGACTGATGGAAACCACAGCTCTGATGTTGTACTTAGAAGTAATCTGATTACAGTAAGGTGATAGAGGAACGACCTCCCTGCTGCTGTAAATCATCATTATTATCGTATTAAAGATACGTTTCCTGCTAAAAACAACTTCATCCTGTTTGTGTCTCACTGACAGCTCTGCTTTCTTTCATGCACACACATAACAGCAGCGTGTGGTCAGGGGGAGTTCTTCGGTACTTCCTGGTTCTTTGTCAGATAGTCCCTCCACGGGCGGAGGGATACGCTGCGTCAGATAGTCCCTCCGCTGCAGGGCTCTGGACTGACATCAAGTGGTGTGTGTCTGAACATCCTCTTACCGAACAACAGTCCGGACCCGACTCTAAGCCGAACCCTAGACAGCTCCGTGAGACAGAACGGGACCGAACAGGCCCGGTTCAGCTAACGTTCTCCTCCTGAGGTTCTCATGAGGAGGGAGACACACACATATATATATATATATATATCAATATCAGGTGTCTCTCAGACAGAACAGCTCTGAGCTGCTAACAGACATGAACTCAGTTTAATAACTTCAGTGTTCAGCAGCTCAGCGACAGTGGAGCTTTGTTCTGAGGGAGAGGATCCCTCTGGAGCTGCTGCACGTAGCTCACGTACAGGAAGAGCAGCAGGCCTCTGATTGGCTGCTCCACACTCAGCCCCGCCCCTGGTCCCGCCCCCTCAGCTCCACAGGAGGAACATGATGTGAACCTGAGCGTGTGCAGAAGAACGCTGGGCCGATGTCTGCATCGTTAAAGCTCTGCTCATGAGTCAAAGACACAAACACGAATTAAAACTAATTAAATCAACTATTTACCTGGTTCATATCGTATAAAACCAACCAGCTCCCCCTCCAGAACCTCCAGAACCTTCATCTGATGGTCAGAGGTCTACCTTCACACTGTGAACATGTCCAGGTGTTTTACTTCAATGTAAGAACATAAACTGCTGGTTTGTCATCTGAACGCAAAGCAGATACTCCACCGTAGAAGTAATCTGATTACTGAGAGCTGATGCAACCTGTGAGTCACATCGGTTTCCAGTGAGCGTGTTTCTGTTCTCCTTTTTCTTCAGCACAAGGTTGGACAGAAGACGCAGCCTGGTGTGTGTGTGTGTGTGTGTGTGTGTGTGTGCTTTGAGGCCAAATTAAAACGCTTCAGCTCAAACATTCTTCCTTCTGTTGTGTCGCAGATGAGTTCAGTTCCTTTAAAGACGAGGCTGTGCAGCTCAGATGGAAGCGACTGGCGCCACCTGCTGGCCGATCACCGTAAAGCCTGCCTGCCTCCAGTTCTGTTGAGTTCAGTCAGAGGAAGACGAGAACACCCAGAAGAGGAGGAGGTCTCAGGGACCTGAAACACCCGCCGTGCAAATGGAAGCCTTCAGGAGAAGCTGCTGGGTGAGACGATAGCAGATCAGTTGAAGCTCCAGGTGTCTCTCCCACTTCAAACCAGCCACTGAATGAGTTCCTCCGATCATAGATTTTACATCATAAAGGCTCTGATGGGATCATCTGTAAGACTGAGCAGTTCTTCTTCATGGACTTCTTCCATCATTTCTGAGCCTCAGAACTTCATCAGAGCAGCCTGGACCCGCACCTGGAACTCTGATCATTAGAGAAAGGTACTGCAGACACAGAACCAGATGTTCTGAGGGACTTTGTTCAGGCTGGGACGGTCACCTTCCGCCACCTGCTGGTCTCTGTTCACTACTGCAGCCAGTTGTCTCGCAGTGACTTGACTTCCCGTCACACTTAATTCTTCCTTCAGCTGTTTTAAGACAAACTCAGCCAAACTGTCAAAAACGTACGTTGACGTCTGAGCTGACCAGCGCTCATCAGAAGGTCTGACACCTTCAGCGAAGAGCTCAAGAACCAATGAGAGAGCCACGTACAGTTTAAAAAAAAAAAAAAAAGGTTAAAAACAGGGCTGCAGAGTGGCGCAGTTGGTTAGCACTGTTGCCTCGCAGCAAGAAGGTTGCCTGTTGGCGTCCCGGTGGGGGCACCGGAATCTTTCTGCGTGGAGTTTGCATGTTCTCCCCGTGCAGCGTGGGTTCTCTCCGGGTTCTCCGGCTTCCTCCCACATAGTCCAAAAACATGTTGAGGTTAATTGGCGATTCTAAATTGTCCGTAGGTGTGAATGTGAGTGTGCTTGGATGTCTGTCTCTAAGTGTAGCCCTGTGATAGACTGGTGACCTGTCCAGGGTGTCCCCTTCACCCTGAGTCAGCTGGGATAGGCTCCAGCCTCCCGCGACCCTAGTGAGGATTAAGCGGTGTATAGATGATGGATGGATGGATGGTTAAAAACATAGAAATGTCCGGCGTTAAAAGCTCAGGATAAAATCTAACGTTAACAATATAAATATTGATTTAAGCTGAAGTTGATAAAGCCATTTAAAGACGTTATGTCATTGGGTAGCGGTAACATCCTGCCCTTATGAGGACGCCTGTGACGCTGGTGTTTGGGTTGAATGAGCTACAGGTGTGGGAGATGTTCTACCTGTGGACAGCGTGGACGTGTGACGTCCAGGTTCTGATGGAAATAAACGGGTTCCTTGGTCCTCGGTGTGAGAAACCTCCTGTGGTTCGGAGCAGCTGTTTGAAAGAGCAGATCAGAGAAAACGAGGATCTGAAGTAAGGACTCGAGCTGCTCTAGAAGGTCACACGTTTATTTTAACAGCTGCATCCTCTCAGAGAGCCGCGATGAAGACGCACAGAGACACGAACGCTCAGTTTGGTAGCTTAGCGGTGAAACTGATGAACTTCACGTTCGTTGGCTGTGATCAGGTTCGTGAACTCGGAGCCGTTTCTGCTCGCGGCTCATCGCTGTGGATCAACACGATGACTCAGAACTTCCAGTTTCCACAGAACCTGGTGAAAGCAGAGCGACGGTTTTTGGCTAATCTGTGAATGAGACGTAGAACAAAGTGAATCTGTGACAGTTTCTGCTCATAAACACATCCAACAGTTCCCAGAGTCTCTGACAGTTCAACAGCTCAGTGTCTGATGAGATCAAAGCTATCTGGTTCCAGGTTTAAAAACAATCAGATGCGACTTTGACAGGTAAGGAACCGCCGGCGCTTCCTCATAAAGCAGTGATGAATGTACAACAAGGAATGAAGCAGAACATGCGGAGCAGCTTCAGTCGAGGATGTTCTGAATGGACTTCTGAGACCGTAGTGACCTCAGGACTCATACGGACCATCTGACACTTAAACAGAGTTCAACAAGAAAGTCCAGTTTCTCCTCATTTATTTACTGACAAGTGAAGGACACGAGAGAAAAGCTGTAAAAACTGGTCTGAGGATTCTGTGAATCAGAGAACCGAGCCTCTCGGGCTTCACAGCGGCACCAAGGAGCTCACACTTTCCTACTGTCCACAGAACCGGGTCAAAGCAAATGGTTAATTTCTGGTGAGCATTTTGGTGACACACCCAGACTTCAGGGGTTCGTTATTCTGACAGAACAACGTGCTGCACACGAGGAGCTCAGGGACCATCGAAGGGTTTAAGATCTGGATGTTCTGTCTGTTTCTGGTTCTGATAAATGGGTCTTTGTTGTTGGGTTATTTTACTTTGTTTTTTCATAGAAGACGTGTTTGAAACTCCAGGAAACAGAACCTTCCTCCGGTTTCTTGTCTGAGCTCGAGGCCGGAGCTCAGCGAACCAGATGCAGGCCAGTTCTACTGGGTCGGTCCGCTCCGACTGTTCTCCTCCTTCTGCAGCTCCTCCTGTTCTTTGGCGTCGGCCTCCTTCAGCTTCTCCTCCACCTCCTCAGGTATCTCCACCTCCATCAGGTTCTCCATCCCTGGCTCCGGTTCGTCCCCGATCAGAACCTGCAGGGATGAAGTCAGAACAAATTCAGCTTCGCTTTCAGCTCCGACTGACGAAGCGTCTGAATCCGAACGCGGTCGCGTTCGGCTGCCGCTCTGCTGGAACACACCTGAGTGGTTCCTGCAGCATCTACCTGCCATGAATTCATCCTCCAACAGGAAGTCCTGCTGGGTTCTGACTGGGTTTGGACCAGTTCACTAGCTGAGCCCAAATCTGGAGTCATTTTAAACGAGTTCTGCCATTTTGGACACGTAGTTTGTAATCACTGTGGACGGGTCGTGTTGGACACGGTGTGACCCGTTCTGGAGGAGGTTCTACTCAGTCTGAGTTCTACTCGACACCTCCTGCCTGGTTTCTGATCGTTTTCACAGCGACAGAAAGTCCTGCCGGGTTCTGAGTCCGCTTTCTGGATGAACGTCTCTCACTCTGAGACATTTCAGAACCATCTGGACTTCTCTGATTCTGTTGGACACGTTTCATTTCACTGGATCAGTTTCTGTCGTTTGGAGTCGTTCTGGACCGACTCGCCGTCACTTTGGACGGACCTGCCGGTGTTCTGTGAGCGACCGGCTGTTTCTCAGTGACTTGGTACCAGACTCGTACCTGCACCAGCTTCTCGCAGGCTGCAGCGACATGGACGTCCTTCTCCCAGCGGTGGAACTCTCTCATGATGGGATAGACGTTCTTGTCCTTCAGGGTCCGTCGGCCGGCTTTGGTCGCCATCAGCTGCACAGGAGACAGACGGTGAGAATGTGACCAGAACAAGACGGCAGAAAGCGAGCGCTGGAGGCTTCCTACCAGCAGGAGCGTCTCCAGCAGCATCTTCCTGACGTCTGGGTCTTCCTCCCTGGTCTTGTCCTCTGGGAGGTACTGCAGGTCCACCGGCAGACCTGGACACCAAACAGGTTAGTCCATCAGAGCCACTCCTGACACATCAGGAACATTCACCAAAACCGAGCTGAGGACCCTGATGTTCCATCAGAACCACTTTATTCTCCACAGCTTGTCCAGTTTGATGGAACCACGTTCTGCAGGAAACTAAACATTTCCTCAACACAAGCACAGACTGAGCGACTGAGGCCAGCAGGCATCGAGCAGAGAGGACGGAGCCTCCATCAAGCTGGTTCTGATCACCGACAACCAGGATCCTCGGCCCAGCACTGAGGCAGCCGGTTCCATCCTGTGCTCTGTGGAAACACCTGGACGTTGATCACCTGCTGGTCTCAGTCGCTCACGGTCCAGGAGTCTGGTTTGGTTTCAGTGCAGAACAAAGTGAGTTTGATGCAGCATCAGGATTCAGGTTTTCAACTAAACAGTCAGAAAGCTGAGCAGGAGGAGGAACCACACATCTGCTCACCTTCGTTCTCCTCGTCGCTCAGCTCCTCCGGTCCGGCCAGCGGCAGCAGCAGGAAGGGCAGGATGTCCACGGCGTCACTCAGCAGCCACTCGTGGTGCCCTGCACAGGTTTAGCACATGATGGGATGGGTCAGCGTGGCAGACGAGGTTCTGACCCGTCTGGCTCCACAAGCTGCATTTCTCTGTGTTGTCACCGAAATCAGAACCTGGTGACAGGTGAGTTCAGTCCACTGACAAGAACGCAGCCTGGTGTGTGTGTGTGTGTGTGTGTGTGTGTGTGTGTGTGTGTGTCTCACGGTGGTCGAAGCAGCAGTTCCTCAGCGTGCCGATGACTCCGCCTCTCCGGACCAGCGACGCCTGGTACTGGGTGAAGGGCAGCAGCCTCTGGACGACACACCTGACACACACACACAGGCCGGTCAGAACAGAACCACTGCAGTCAGGCGATTCACCAGAACACACCTGCAGCACCTGGAGAGCCCACTGTGGTGACTCTAGTGACTTATTGTCTGTCTGTGGTGACTTTAGTGACTTATTGTGTATCTGTGGTGACCCTGTAGTTCTGCACCGTGTGGTTCTGCTTCTACTGAAACAGTGAGACCAGACTGGGATCAGCTGCTCGTGTTCAAACGATTCCTGAAAATACAACCGTCTGGTTTCATCAGTGATCTCTCATGTCTGTGTTCTGAGTCTGTGTTCTGATTCTGAGTCTGTGTGCTGATTCTGAGTCTTTCTGGACGTTCTACTCGAACGACTTCATCCAAATGAGTTTATTCTAAAAGTGTCATTTACAAACATCCACTGCACGTGTCGCTGCTGCACTCGGCAGGCAGGTGATGTGGTGACTCACCTGTCTGGGTCCAGCAGGCAGGTCCTGGCCTCGGGCAGCTGCGTCAGGTTGGACAGCAGAGGACCCAGGTAGTGCAGCTTGGCCTTCTGATTGTAACCCTCAGTGCAGAAGATGTCCACCAGCTGAGCCACACCCAGCTGCTCCTGCAGAACCTGGAACAGCAGAAGAAGAACTCAATGAAGAGGAGGAGGACAGTTCATCAAGCACCAGACAGAAAATCAGACAGAACCAGAACCATGACACTGATGCTACCAGCTGCTGACAGAGGACATGAACAGAACCAGGTCCAGTATTCAGACTGAGACACCTGGATGGATGTAGAACTGATCTGGTGTCAGGTTCTACCAGAACCCAGATGTGTTCTTCCTCCTAAATCTGGACCCTCCTCTGTGGACTTCAAGGACCTGGACCTCTGGGACTGCTCTGACTTTCCTCCAGCTAGCAGTGGGTCTGAGCAGAACCACTGAGGCCTCCAGAAGCTGCTTGGTGTGAACGTTTTACAGACACGAGTGTGATGAAATCATTCTGTGCTGACTTTGCATCTTTGAGTGATTCTGAACTTTGAAAGTTTGGTTTTTCTGATTCTGGTCACTTTTAAACGAGACGCGTCCAAAAAAGTGATTTTGATTCATTTTTAATTTTCCGTCAAATTTCCAACGTAACAGTTAAAGAACCAAAGATTCTGTTGTGGTTCTGAGAAACTGTTTGGTCTGCAGACGCTTCAGAGACGCTCTGCCTTTATGATCCCACGTGAATGATTCAGCATCGCAGCAGGTTCCAGGACCTTCCAGGACCTCTCACCTTGAACACAGTCCTGCAGGTTTTCTCGTGGCGGCTCAGGTTGGACAGGATGGTGCAGATCTGGTCAGAGAACACGTACTCTGGATCCACGAGGTTTTTCAGCAGAACCGGCAGGACGCCAACATCGTTCACCAGAACCTGACGGAGGACACAGAGATGTATCAGGCCCGTCTGACCCACATCAACGAGCAGCGACGGGTCGGCAGTCACCTGGTGCAGAGTCTCGTCGGCCGACAGGTTGATCAGGACGTGGAAACAGTCCTTGACAATGGCGATGGACGGGTCAGAGGTCAGCGCCAGCAGAGCGGCCACAAGGTCGGGTCTGGAGCGAAGGAACCGGCAGCCGTCGCTGCAAACAGGAAACAGGAAGAGAAGCGTCACACACAGAAGGTCACGTCACACTCGTCAACAGGGGAGCGTGGACGCTCGTGTGCTGCTCCCGTCTCACGCTGAACAAACGAGCAACCAATGTTCAGGAGCTGCAGGGAGCTCAGAGTTCCCTGGTCCAGTTCAGGACTTATCCTGGAGCTCACCGGTGTCCCGACAGGCCCAGGATGTACTCAGTGGCTCGTCCTTTGACATCAGGTCGGGTCGCCGGCGTCAGGAAGGACAGAAGCTCTGCGGCCTCAGAGTCACTCAGCATCTTCAAACCGTGTTTAAACTGAAAGACAACCAAAAAACAACTTTCAGCTCTGAGACGCAGCAGACCAACGCTGGTTCTGTCTGACCCGCTGGTCCTGATGTCAGAACCTGATCCCGTCAGACTGGACAAATCATGACAACGTCCTGAAGCTGATCACCTTGGATTGTCTTAGTTTTTCAAATAGAAATGATCTGCTGTTATATTGGTTGGTTATTACAGTGAAATGAATGTTTTGGGGGTTTTGGGGACAAAACGTTCGACCTCAGAGAATTAATGTTGTTGTTGTCGTGTGTGTCCATGATGTCTCATGTGAGTCACAAACTGAAGACGGTCGACTGTGGTCATCTGATGAGACAAAGTTTCTTGAATCTTGACCTTCAGTGTTTGGACACTTTTACAAACTTAATTAGAAACAACAGACACGTCATTAATGAGTGAACGTGAGACGCGACTCATCTGATCATTCACACAGAGGAAACCCTAAACCGACCTCCAGGGAACTCTGTCCGTCTGGTTTCATCCGTCTGAACCGTAAACAGAATCCATTAATGTGAGAGCAGCTGAGGATCAACAAAACCAACCAGAACATCTGGTTCTGTACCTCCAGTACCTTTATCTACTGATCAGAGTTCTACCTTCAGACTGTGAATGTTCCAGAGTTCCAGGTCCTTGAAGTCCACAGAGGAGGGTCCAGATTTATCACCTTAATGGACTTTTTCCATCATTTTTGAGTCTCAGAACTTCACCAGTACAGCAGATAGACACGACATTTAGGAGGAAGAACACATCTGGGTTCTGGTAGAACCTGACACCAGATCAGTTCTACATCCATCCAGGTGTCTCAGTCTGAACACTGGAGGTTTGGATGAATTTGAGTGATTCTGGATCATTTTGTGTAATTTCTGGACGACTTTCACGTCATTCTGAACTATTTCTGGACATTTTCATCAATTTTTTACGTCAATTTAAACAATTCTGTTGGATGAAAACACCTGAGTTCTGTCACAGTCTACAGACAAAACAAATGAGAAATTATAAGTAATTCAGGACAACTTTTGTGTAATTTTATGTCATTTTGAATATTTCTGAGTAATTGTCAACATGGTTTTTGTGATTCTAGACAACGTTCATGTCTGTTTGAACATTTGTGCATCATTCTGGTTGAACTTAAATAAATTTGGGACCATTTACAGAACTTTCATGTAATTGGACCAGCATTTGATAGAAAACACACCTGAGTTCTGGCAGAACCTGACACCGGATCAGTTCTACATCCATCGAATCTCGTTTTGTTTTTTTTTTACAGTTTGTGTTCTTGTGACTACATTAGAAAATAGTTCAGACACAGCAGGAATCTGGACGATGATCCTGACATCAAACGTAGGTTTGACTTTCTGTCTCTTGAAGTTCAGCAGAACCTCCTTCACCGTCCAGCTAGACTTTAGCTAAGCCGTCTAAACTCACCTTTCAGCGGCTACAGAGCTCCTCCGGGTCTCATGTCGCCTTCACCCCTTCAGCTGCTCCCCGCTGACGGGAACGATCCTGAACCAACATGTGGACGCTGCAGCGAAACTCCGCCTCTCTTCCGGCTTCACTTCCGGGTTTCTTCGTCTTCTTCTTCTAGCTCATTTCCGGCCGCGTCGAGCCTCCTGCTTGGCGTCACTGCCTCCCAGCGGTCAGCGCCGGGGACAGCAGCGCCACCTGCTGCGCGCTCGGCGGAAGTGTTCAGATTATTTCATAATAAATTTGTAAAAGCCGTCTTGGTGATGGAGAGTTTTCCAGCTGATGCAAAACGGCTTCAAAGAGTTTCTTAAGATTAAGGAACACTTTTCTGAACCTTTAGATAAAATATACATCTGCAAATTTAAACAGAGTAAATATATTAATTAGATGCAACCGGTGACGTTGGGGAGGAGGTTCTGGTTCTGTAATTATGCACAGATTTATTTGTTCAGTTGGTAAGTCAGGAAGTATTTTGGATGTTTAATGAAAGCATTCACAGTGTAAAATATACTGTGAAAAAAACTGTTCTTTTGCTGAACTATTCCTTTTTAATTTGCTTTTATTATCTGTATTTTGGAATATATTAAAACATCAATAACAATAATCACAATAATTGTGAATTTATACTTCGAAATGAAAATTACATTTAAAAATCCTATCAGTAAAATTCTTTTTAAAAACGTACATTAAAAAAAAATCCATACTGTTCTGTTTAAAATATTAAATGCTAAAGTCCAGTTTGTGAATATATTTCTAAAATGATCTTGTATCATTACAGAAGTCCACACAAACAGATTAACCTATACATGTGTAATATTATGTATATTCTAGCCCATTTCAACATCCTTCAATAAACATTAAAAAGCCCAAAAACATACCAACTCCTTGTAAAGTGAAGGATTTTATTATGAAAATCCCTTGTATGAGATGGCTATTTCCTGTCATTTCTTGAGGCTTCACTGTTAAAACAACATTAAAGTCAGCTTTGCGGTTGTTTTAGGAGCTAACAGTAGATTTAAACTGACCTTCAAACAGACAGAATCCAGTCAGAACATCAGGAACCTTCCAAACTACTTTATTGAAGTATTGAAAAATAACAGCACATACAAGACATTTGCGTAGTTTCGTCTGCAGCGGCTGAACGACAGCTCAGTGTTCTGATCAGAGGTCCAGTTCCACCTCCACTCTCACGTCGGTCACTTTCCAAACGCTCTCACATCTCTAAAAGTCAGTCGGTCGGCTGCAGCGTTTCAACCATTCACACACACTGAAAACGGAATAATTCACAATGAGAAGCTGAGAAAACACCTGAGCCCAGAGCTGGTGGTCGTGTCTGCAGCCTTCAAGCAGGTTCCGACGCCCAAAGCTTTTATTTTCCTCAACACACACATTTCCTCGACGTTACTTCAATAACATGGAAAAAAAAAAGAGACTAAAAATTAGCATTCGAACTGAGAAACATTTCACCAAACGTGTGCAGATTGAAGAGAGTGAAGAGCAGCACTGAGCATGCTCAGTCTGGCTGTAAACAGGGTAAATATTCAACAGGAAGTCACCACGCTGGGCCTCCGGGAAGCGTTTCGGAGGCCTTGCTGTGGTTCTGTGAGAGTTCAGGTGTGAAGCTGATGAAGGCACTGTGGAGTCAGAGATCAGCACCTCTGTTGGCTCGATTCGTCATCGTCGTGGTCGCGGTCGTCGTGGTCGTGGCGCTCTCCATCACTCCGCCTTGTCCTTCCTCTTGATTGTGAACGGCACTTTGCTGACGACCGTGGAGCCCACCGTGGAGACGCCGCCGGCCACGACAGAGACTCCGCCCTTCACCAGCCCCACGCCCACCGACGGCACCGTGGTCACCGCCGTCTTGGTGATCTCCAGGCTCTTGCCGCCCACCCAGGCCACGCCCCCCACCGCGGCGCCCACCACGCCGCCCACCACGCCCTTGGTGACGTTGAAGAGGCCGCCGGTGACCCTCCACATCATGCCGGGCGGAGCCACCGCGTGGTCCTTGCCGGAGTCTGGAACAAAACACAGAAGGAAGCGTCAGAGTTCATCCTGTGATCAGCTGCTCGCCAACACCTTCAACAGGAAGTACAGAGAGTCCACATTGTTCACTTTCCAGACACCAGAACCATCCGACCCACAGCTCACAGCACAAAGACGGTCATTTTACCACCAGGTTTAACCTCTGAGCTCTGAGCAGCTCCTGTCCTTCAGCAACATCGCTTCATTCTTTACTCAAACATAAATCTGATGTAGTAAAAACTAAACTCCTGGTTCTGATCCTGCAGAACCAGAACCTCCCTCCTCCTGGTTCTGATCCTGTAGAACCAGGAGGAGGAAGATTCTGATCCCGTAGAACCCCAGAACCTCCCTCCTCCTGGTTCTGATCCTCCACCACCGACCCAGCTGTGATCAACAGGAAACATCCAGAGAGTTTCAGGTGAACTGCAGCCAGTGTTTCCTCAGAGACACTGAAGGAGAATCCATCCTACTGGATCAAGGAATAGATGCAGCATGGATCAGAACCAGAGACCAGAGGAGCCAGTTGGTGGAGATACATTCAGCTGATGGTGGAACATCTTTCTACTGATGGTGGAACATCTTTCTATGGCTGATGAGCAGAGAAGAGAAGTCTAGAGACAATTGCTGGGAACTGTCTCCAGTATTGAAACAGACAGATGGAGTCAAACTAGACGACAGCCGGTTTGCTCGCGGTGAAGGAGGAGGAGATGAGAAATAAATGATGAGGGTTTGGAAACGCAGTGACTGTCAGCAGGATCATTTATCATTGTCTTGGTATTTGTTGGCAGTGAAAAGATGAGGAATGTGACCAGACTGATGCTCTGAAGACAGTTTTTCTTCCTGCTGGAGGGGTTGTGCTGCTCTACCTTTCTCTGGAAAACACCACAAGGAGCTTCTGGTGGACTCAGACCAGGACTCACACTGTCCAGGTCCTGGTTCCACTTGGTTCTGGTGTAGAAGTTCTTGATGATATTGTTCTCTGGATGTTCTCCTGCTGGAATGTTCCTCTTCTTCATCTGGTCAGCCAGTATCCTGGTTCATCCTCAGACATTCATTGAGCATCTAGAAAGGTCATCAACACCTTCTGCCCTCATGCAGCCCCATATCATGATGCTGCCACCTCCGTGCTTCACTGTCAGGACCATGCATCCACTGTGGTGGTCCTGGTCAGGTTCACACCAAACATCTGGACTCCATGTGAGCCCAACACATTGATCTCCATCTGACCAGAGGATGTTCTCCAACATCCATCAGGCTTTTGTTCATGTTCTCTGGTGAACTTTGATGTGGAAGTTTAGTTGTGAGCAGCAGCCAGGTTTAGTTCTGGTCCTCCGTCCATAGAGGCTGATGTTCTGATGGGTCCTTCATACTCTCAGAACTGAGAAGGTTCTGCTGTTCTCAGCTCGTTGTAGAACCATGTTCATGCAGGTAGACTGATGGAAACCACAGCTGGACTCAGTTTGGTTCTTTGAGGTTCTACTCTGGAGCTGAATTTTAATTATAGTCCTAATGAAGGATTTGTTCGTTAGAGGGAATATTCTGCTGATGCACTTAGAAACAACGCGGTTCAGCTGAGTCATAAACCACTGAATCAGTTGAATATGGAACACGGCCACATCAGAGGACGATTCAGGCGTCAGGACTGAACGTCTGCAGGTTCTTGCAGCAGATGTTGATGGAACTTTGACCTACTGCTGATGGTCTGAATGTCTCCATCAAAGTCTGCACAAAGGTCCACGACACTCCCTCAGATGGTGTTGAAAGACTTCAGTCTGGAACAGCGAAGAACCATGAACTTCACCCTCCAGAGCTCCGCTGGGAGTCTGGACGTTGTGGAGGAACGTTAAACAGGCGTTTGTGTGTCTTCAGACTTCAGCTGTGACGTTCTGATCAGCGCCTACGCTCCAGTTGGTGCCTTTCTGCTTCAATTTAGGGGAAAACGTCTTTATTTAGTTTAAAAAACACTTAATTCAGGTTTAGTTGTGAATATAACGCAGCGCGGTTCTCAGACGTTCTGTGCTGCTTTGCTGTTTCTATGTTGGGGACAAAAGTTTTAAACATTAACGAGGACGTCTCGTCTCAGGTTGGTTTGTTGAACACCGCTGAGCGAGATGGAGGAGGTCTGTGGGGGTTTTCAGGTCTCTGGTTTAAACCATGTCCTGGTTGGACTGGACTCATTACAGGCAAAGACACACACCGCCTGCTAGAACCACTCAGGGAGTTCTGTCATCGGGTCAAATTAATCTACACGGTGACGGTAAACAAATAAAAATCACCATAACTTGAAATTTTAGGACGTACGATCTCAAAATGAACTTGTGCTCAGTTTCTAACGTTCTTATTTTGGTTGTTTCTTTACAGCTGTTTCTGACCTGGGCTGAGTTTTAGCTCCATGCCGAACACGAACATCTTCTGAAGGTGGAAGATGCTTTGAATGAAGCCTCACAGATGCATTTTAGCCTCAAACAGGCGGCGACTGAGGAGTGAACAGAAGCTGGATCTATAAATCTGATCAGACTCTGACCTGCTCAGTAAACTGTGGTCAGAACTCAACACAGGATTCATCCAGAAACGACTAAACTGAAGCGTCTCAGAGTCGGGACACAAATAGCCGCTTGAAGCTGCAGCCGCTGTTGCACAAACACACATATTCCCCCGACAAACCAGCTGCTGCCGAAATAGCAGCAGGCAACATGCGCGCTCGGATTGCAGCATATTCCCTGCTGATGTTCCAGCGTTTAGCCGCAGCCCGGGGAGCTGGGTTCTTACCCTCCAAGGACTGGTTGTCGGTGGGTTCATCCCCGTCCGAGGCCACGCTGGTCCCAGGCTGAGGCTCCACGCTCACGCTGTTCACATTCTGCAAAACACAGAAAACACAGGTTCACTCTGGAGCTCCACCCGACCTCCAACCGTAAAGGTCCTGGATGGTGGAAAGACTGGAAACCAACGCTGAGAGGATGAAGAAACTCACTGCTGCCATTCCTCAACGAGATCTGCTCTCCGCTCCTCAAACACTCAGTTTTATTCAGCTTCTACGTTGAAACTGAGGAACCAATAGCGGTCCAGCTCTGAATAGCTCCGCCCCCTCACTGGCTCCAGGTGAACCAATCAGAATGTTTCCTCTCAGTCCTGCAGGTTTGTTTACGTCCTTCAGCTGATCTGATAAACTCTGAAACGTCTGAACCACGAACATCCATCCATCATCTCCACACCTTAATCCTCACTAGGGTCATGGGGGGCGGAGCCTATCCAGCTGACTGAAGGCAAGTTCACCTGGACAGGTAACCAGTCTATCACAGGGCTACACTTAGAGACAGACAACCAAGCACACTCACATTCACACCTACGGACAATTTTGAATCACCAATTAACCTCAGCATGTTTCTGGACTGTGGGAGGAAGCCGGAGAACCCGGAGAGAACCCACGCTGCACGGGGAGAACATGGAGACTCCACGCAGAAAGATCCCGGGTGTCCTCACCAGGACGCCAACCGGCGACCTTCTAGCTGTGAGGCGACAGCGCTAACCACTGAGACACCTGCAGCCCGGAACCACAAACAGAACTCACCAGATGTTCTGCTGTTAGAGTGAACACAAGAGTCTTCATGCAGGAGCTGAACACCCACTGGGTTACTGGGGTTACTGGTGGGCCCACAGTGCTAATGTGGCTCACGTTAGCTCAGAGCTCTGTGGAAGCTTTAACTCGGCCCAGCGACCCAGGACTGGGTGGGTTCAGTGTTCTGTTAGGAACTCAGCCTGAACGTGGGCGTCCTCATTTCTCAGCAGGTTTCATAAACCATCCAACAGGACACCTGCATTCCACCTCAGCCGGACTCTGGTCGGGTCCTGAGGAGGTCCTCAGTGTTTCAGGTAAACCAGGACATACAGCGAGCAGAGCAGAGGCTCAGTCTGGACTCAACGTGTCATCAGCAGACACACACTGATGGCACCAACAGCTTCGGTTCTGGTTCTGAGGACTGAATCAGAACCAATGAGAGCTCATCCTCCTCATGCACAGCAGATCAAACTAGAAGGTGTGTGTGTGTGTGTTTAGCTGTAAGCCGGTGCTGACAGGTGAGCTGGCCAGGTGGCCCTCAGGTGTTTCCTCCTGAGGCTGAGCCAGAACCCCCCAGAGGCCGGACATGAGTCCAGATGAACAGTCTGTCTGTCTGTCTGTCTGACCGTTCCTCCGCGTCGCTTCCTCTCAACACCCCGCAGCCACGACTACACTCTCAGCATCGTTCAAAGCCTCCTTCCCATCCGGACCTCGGTTCCGCTGGCCTCACCTTCACCATGGTTCCCTGCGCTGCTGCTGCTGCTGCTGCTTCTCTCGGAGCCTCGGACGAGCAGCTTCTCGGCTTTTTCCGTCGCTCGGAGCTGCAGCTGAAACTCTGCCGCTGCTTTCTGTCGCAGCTGGAAAACTTCTGCTCGGACTGAAGCTGCTGCCGACGTGGCGCCTCCGACACACACACACACACACACACACACACACACACACACACGCTACGCGCTCTGAACTTCCATCGAACACCTTCAAAATAAAAGCCCGAAGTGAACGCGTGATCTCGTAATAATACAAAAAAAGAAAAAAAGAAAAAAGAAACGTAAATGGGACTCATGTTCCTCTTCCTTAAGCTTCTGTCATTCATGGAGCATCTAGAAACGTCATCAACACCTTCTGCCCTCATGCAGCCCCATGTCATGATGCTGCCACCTCCATGCTTCACTGTCAGGATCATGCATCCACTGTGGTGGTCCTGGTCAGGTTCACACCAAACATCTGGACTCCATGTGAGCCCAACACATTGATCTCCATCTGACCAGAGGATGTTCTCCAGCATCCATCAGGCTTCTGTTCATGGGCCACATGTACAGTCACTCCAGACCATGACTGTCATGAGTGCTCAGTTTTTCCATCCATCCATAGAAACATCTAAATACATATAAAGAATACAAACACGAAATATAAACAATGTGCAAATAGTACACGAGTTAATATTTAGTGAACTCACACATAGGAGCTGCAACTACAATAATATTTTATCTACACATTTATGTAGATTTCTTTTGGTAGTTTTATTAAAATAAAAAAGTGAGAACTTTTTCCCCAGAGACTAAAAAAAACAAAACAAAAAGCATCCATCACTTTGTAAATAATTAATATTTTTTTTTGTACTTAAGTGAAAAGCTTTGATCTCCAAACCTTTATGTCCAGATTTCCTCATTTAAAAACGTCATTCAACTATTATTATTATTATTATTACTATTATTATTATTGCTGATGAAGTCCCTGTTTCATCGGCTCTGTGAAGCAGCTCAGGCTCATCCAGGCTGGAACTTTACTGTGAAAACAGGCGGAGGTTTGGTTCCGCCTCCGGATTCTGCATCAGCAGCTGCTGGAGTGGAAACGTCTGAGAGTAACGTGTCTCTGTGACATGACTGCTCCTGATGTTTGATGTAGATCGTTTGGTGTGAACAGAAAGATTCAGCTGCAGCTCTGCAGACCGACAGCAGACTGAAGCCATGGGTCCTGTGAATGCAGACAGGAGTCAAGGTTCAAGTGGAAAAAACACCTTTAACTCTCCAAACAAGCAGACGTCATCCAAACACACCTTCTGACAGTATTTGCCTTTGAGCCGACACAGTCAGGCAGCTTCAGGGTTTCCTCCATCGTCTCCTCTGGGCTCAGTGGAAACCCAGCGGGCTGTTGGTCACAGCTCAGCCCGTCAGGATTCACTGCTCACTGCTCTGAGGGTGTTTTTGTCTTTTGCAGAATCTCATCAGTTCAAAACACTTTAATTTGGGGAAATTTTTAATCAAAAAATGTAGATAAAATGTGCAAATTTTAGGTTTGGTCATTTTTCCTCTTTAAACAAAACACTTGATTCAAGAACTGCTGAAAACAAAACATCACGTGACTCTTCTTCTGTTTTTACAGTTTCTGATAAATGGTTGATTCCTGCCGGGCTGCAGGTGTCCAGAAACATGTTGAGGTTAATTGGTGATTCTAAATTGTCCATAGGTGTGAATGTGAGTGTGCTTGGTTGTCTGTCTCTAAGTGTAGCCCTGTGATGGACTGGTTACCTGTCCAGGTGAACCTGCCTTCACCCTGAGTCAGCTGGGATAGACTCCGCCCCCCTTGACTGTCCTTAAAACTTGGCAGCACAACTGATTCATTTAATAGACCGTTACAGGCTCACCGGGGGAGCAGACAGAATTTAAGATGACATTAAAACAACGTTCATCATGCAGCTCTGTCCACCAGCAGCGTGACGTTACTTTCATTCGAGAGCTGTGAAGGCTTGTGAATGAGTTTGATCTAATTATTAATAATAATCTAAATAAATTCATAAAACATATCACAAACCATGTGTCAAATTATGATTATTATATTCTTGTAAATCTTGTTGACTTTCTTCTCTATATATTTATATTATATGTTCTATATTTTTATCCTATTCCATGTTATTTTACCTTTACCTGTTGTCTTCTTGCCGTGTTCACCCCATGTTGAACAGTCATGCTGCTGTAACACCTGGATTTCCTTCTGGCATGAAAAAAGTCAGCCTCAGTCTAAAGCATAACCTCACGTAAACACACAGAAAATGGAAAAATTAAACTCACAACTGGCACAGGGAGCACATTCAGCTTTATCAGACTGAAAGCAGTATTATCTGAAAGAGTTCAAATGTTTTATCTTCTTCCTAAAAACTCTGTCGAACCTTTAGCGCTAAAGTCTGTAAATCAGATAAATCTGGGTTCAAACCAGACACAGTTGGTCAGATAAGTTAAGTATAAAAAGACAGTTTAGATTGTCATTGTTGTAGTAATAAAATTGGATAATAAAACAATAGCACAATGTTGAATTTATTTCAAATAAAAGTTGTATTTAAACTGAATAAGTTAACTCCCAGAACTTCTGCATGAAGTCGTATTTTTAGTCGTCCTGTGCAGCAGGTGTCTCCTTCCACCTGTGATGTTGGAGTCTGCTCCTAAAACCAAAGAAGAAGAAAAAGAACTTCCGGCGCTCGGCTGGATTTCCTTCAGGCACATCCGCGGCCGCTTTGTTTGGGGTCCTCACCGGAGGCTCGGCGCCAGTCTCCCGGCTGCAGCTGCTCGAGTGAAGAGGCGAGAAACTCTGTGAAATAGCGGTAGAGACAGGTCGCTCCGGGACTTCGGACCCTCAGACGCGCAGAGATGAATCTGGAGCTGCTCGGTAAGAAAGTGGAGACGCGAGTGTGTCGCCTGTTGGCCGCGAAGCTCCGCCCGCTGGCCGCTTGTTGTGGTTAGCATCGACGGTTAGCTTAGCATGTCAACAACGCTGCATACGAGTCAAATTAAAACGATTCAACGAGGCAGCTTGGTTGGTTCTGAGAAACAGTTCGCGCTACATCAGTTGCTGACTGTCTGATTAATAATAATATGTACATGTGAATTAAATGAATTAAATGAAATGAAGTGGCGGTTAGCTAGCGTTAGCTAACGTTAGCTAGCGTTAGCCTGTCACTGAATGAAGTGTCTCAGTTCGTGATGCTGCGGGACGGTTTACTCACAATCACGGAGTCTTATTGAAACTATGTGGAAATAACAGCGTACGCATCTTCTCCAGGTGACAGCCAGCAACGTCACTGGTCATTAACAACATGCAGGTAGAGATAGAGAGAAAAATCACAGAATCAGAATGAAGGTTTCTGGACGTGAAAGCAGCCTCTATACTGGCTCCAGCCTCTAAACGGGCTCCAGCCTTTAAACCGTCTCCAGCCTCTGAACGGGCTCCAGAGGCTCCTTGTGAATCAAGTCCAGGTTTGTGTAGTGTGACACATCCCCGGTTCGTTAAGCGGGTCAAACCTGGAAAGGTGCCTCGGTGGGATGGGGTGTTTTCAGCTCTCTTTGCAAAGACTGGATCTTCCCCGAGCGATCAGGAAGTCTGGTAGAGGAATGCCTCTGGAGAGAAAATGATGTGACCACAGCTGAAACTCAGTCCGTTTGGAAGCTCTCTGAGCAGGTGAAGACGTCAGTGTGTGATGTTCAGACTCCTCCAGATCTCTGTGCTGCTGATTAGATTCACGTGTTGCAGCAGAACAGTGACGAGAAGAAAAGAGAACAAATCGACTGTAAGTAGGAAGAGCTGAGAAATGCAGTCCAATAGATCTGCACACTACAGACACTGTAGATCCATGTAATGTGTACGATGGATTAAGACATAAAACAGAACAACATACGGTACACTTCTGATCATTTAAATGGTCAAACTGCAGGTTCTCTTTGATTGAACTTGTCCTCTGTGATGAAATATTTCAGTACATCTGAACAGAGCTGCAGCTTTATGGACAAACGGGAACGCTGAGAACATAATTATTGTATTTATCACAGTTATTCATGGATTTAGAGAGCTCCGCTTTCACTTCCTGCTCATCTTTGTTCCTGCTGATGTGCACATCTGCACCAGAGTCAGACTATGAATCCTGTTCAGCTAAACTCAGAGCAGGAGGCTCATCATGACTCCTGTTGTTCTTTCTGTCTGCTGAACGTCTGATGCTGAAGTTGTTTTTGCTTCCAAACCGTCCTTTTCCGTGTTTCTCTTCTGTTCTGAGACCAACAAACGTGTGCCTGTTAAAGACATTAAAAGGAAGCCTTGAATCAGATTAAATCTTGTTTTATCAGAGTTGTAGTTCAGTCATGAGAAGGAGACCTGTTCAGGTTTTGTGCTGCAGCCTGACGTGTATATTTGCTGTCCTTCGTTTCCTGTGGTGCGACCGCTGTGCACGTCACGGTATCAACGCCGTGAAACCAGACTGACTTCTTCTTCCAGACGTAAATGGGGATATGTAAATGTAGATGTGATGCAGGCTGGACGGAGAAAAGCTGCAGGATGAGTCTGTTTCTGTTGTAGCTGCGAGAGTAAAGCTGCTGTTTGTGTTCTGAATGGTGTCGGTTTGTTCCAGCGAGGTTTGGTTTGTGAGCTCCGTTTGGTCCGACCAGACAAAAAGGAGAAACTCACAAACAGAACGACGGTTTCTGAGGTTCTCGTCTGGGTTCTGTGCAGCTCCTCTCCAGGTGTGAAGGCTCAGTTCACTGATCGCTGACGTGGATCATGAGCTCGTTGTCCCTCCTTTGGGTTTGTACGAAAACAAAGTTTTAGAACTCTGAGAATGGGCTTCAAAGCGTGCTGCAGCTGTTGGGCCCATTTCAACTCTAGAAGCAGTTTTTAATCGATGAAGCAACAGAACGTTGACATAAACTTGTAGCTCAGCGTTTTTTTAGGAACCCCAGACTTTAATCTGAGAAGGTGTTCTGTCTTGTAGACATGAGGATGGATCAGAACAGTGCAGGGTGTGTCTGACTCTTCAGCTCTAATCCTCTCTCTGTTGTTCCTCTTGCAGAATCGTTCGGGCAGAACTACCCAGAGGTGAGTTTATCATAATCACATGAGCTGGAGGGTCCTCCTCAGAACATCTGGTTCTGTATCTGCAGTAGCTTTATTAACAAAGCAGAGTGAGTCCAGTCAGAGGTCCTGGAAGGTCCTGGAAGGTCCTGGAACCTGCTGCGATGCTGAATCATTCACGTGGGATCATAAAGGCAGAGCGTCTCTGAAGCGTCTGCAGACCAAACAGTTTGTCAGAACCACAACAGAATCTTTGGTTCTTTCACTGTTACGTTGGAAATTTGACGGAAAATTAAAAATGAATCAAAATGACTTTATTGGACGCGTCTCGTTTAAAAGTGACCAGAATCAGAAAAACCAAACTTTCAAAGTTCAGAATCACTCAAAGATGCAAAGTCAGCACAGACTGATTTCATCACACTCGTGTCTGTAAAACGTTCACACCAAGCAGCTTCTGGAGGCCTCAGTGGTTCTGCTCAGACCCACCGCCAGCTGGTGGAAAGTCAGAGCGGTCCCAGAGGTCCAGGTCCTTGAAGTCCACAGAGGAGGGTCCAGATTGATCACTTTAATGGACTTTTTCCATCATTTCTGAGCCTCAGAACTTCATCAGAACAGCAGATAGACACATGACATTTAGGAGGAAGAACACATCTGGGTTCTGGTAGAACCTGACACCAGATTAGTTCTACATCCATCCTCTATGGACTTGAAGGACCTGGAACTCTGGAATATTCAGTCTGAAGGTAGAACTCTGGTCAGTAGATGAAGGTCCTGCAGATACAGAACCAGGTGTACTGAGGAGGTTCTGGAGGCTCTGATGGTTTTTCCTGAGTTATTTGTGCAGTGACAGTCCTCCTACCAGCAGAGGGCGATGCTCTGCTGTTGGAACCAGTGTGACCTCCTGGGTGTTGACTGAACTCTGGTTGTGTTGTCAGGAGGCAGATGGCACCCTGGACTGCATCAGCATGGCGCTCACCTGCACCTTCAACCGCTGGGGGACTCTGCTGGCCGTCGGCTGCAACGACGGTCGCATTGTCATCTGGGACTTCCTGACGCGAGGCATCGCCAAAATCATCAGCGCTCACATCCACCCGGTCTGCTCTCTGTGGTGAGGTGTTCACACCAACATCTCTTCTTCTTCTACCAGTTAGCAGCACTGAACAAAGTGATGCAACAGGGCTCCACTGCTGAGACCCTCCTTCAGTTTATCATCACGTCAGCTGTCTTTAAATCACCCTCAACACTTTGTGGGGCTTTTTTCCGCTGTGGCTCATAGAACGACACAAACGAGAACAACGACAAGTTTCTTTGGTTGTTTATTTTGCAATTTTTTAAAACTAGTTTCCGTGTTTGTGTCGTCTCTGCTCTGTGGAAACGCCGTCTGCACCCCAGAATATTCAGTTCTTCACTGAGTCCGGTCAAAACAAACATTTTATGGATTTTTTTTTTTTTTTTTTTTAAAGAGAGATGATTTTATCAGGGCTGCAGGTGTCTCAGTGGTTAGCACCGTTAGCACCTCACAGCGAGAAAGTCGCTGGTTGGCGTCCCGGTGAGGACACCCGGGATCTTTCTGCGTGGAGTCTCCATGTTCTCCCCGTGCAGCGTGGGTTCTCTCCGGGTTCTCCGGCTTCCTCCCACACACCACAAACATGCTGAGGTTAATTGGTGATTCTAAATTGTCCGTAGGTGTGAATGTGAGTGTGCTTGGTTGTCTGTCTCTAAGTGTAGTCCTGTGATAGACTGGTGACCTGTCCAGGTGAACCTGCCTTCACCCTCAGTCAGCTGGGATAGGCTCCGCCCCGAATGACCCTAGTGAGGATTAAGGTGGAGAGATGATGGATGGATTTTAATGAGGCGTCACAATTGTAAGCTGAGATTTGGTTGCATTCTCCGACCGACACGTGACAGATGAGTCGATGAAGGACAACCTGAAAGTTAAAACTCAGTGATTCTGTGTTTTTACAATTTCTGGCTGAAATAGTTGAGTCATTTTCACAGATAGCAAAAACCAGAACCTGCCAGAGGGTTTTGGTGTCCAGAGGGTCGATACAGACATTCTGTTTCAGTTTCTTTGATCAGACAGGTTTGTCTATAACACACTCAACACCTCAGCTTGTTCTCCATACAGTAGCCAGTCACTGATCGGACTAAATGATTAACCCAGTGAGGGGGAGATTCACAGTCGTTCCAGATCGATATCCCAGAGGCTGAGTTGAGTGATGTTGCGCTCTGGTGATCCGGCGTTCCCTGCTGCTGTGGTCACGTGAATGCAGGTTGACGGCCGGTTCATTTGTGACACAACCGGCTCTCTAACCAACGGCACGTCATGTGTTTGTGTGCAGCTGGAGTCGAGACGGACACAAGCTGGTCAGCGCCTCCACAGACAACATCGTGTCCCAGTGGGACGTCCTGACCGGAGACTGCGACCAGCGGTTCCGCTTCCCGTCGCCCATCCTGAAGCTGCAGTACCACCCCAGAGACATGTGCGTTGTGTCGCCTCCGCCTGCTGAGCTTCAAGCTGCATGCGTCCTGTGGTGGGTTGGTCCAATTGTTCTTCTTGTGTTTCAGGGACAAGGTGCTGGTTTGTCCCATGAAGTCGGCCCCGGTTCTGCTGACACTGTCGGACTCCAAACACGTGGTCCTGCCGGTGGACGACGACTCGGACCTGAACGTGGTGGCGGCCTTCGACCGGCGGGGCGAGTACATCTACACCGGCAACGCCAAGGGAAAGGTCAGCAGACATCATGAGAAAGCATCAGATCAGAACACGAGACCTCCTCAGAGCCTGTCAGACCGAATACCAGACCTGCTGAAGCTGAGATAAACCAAACGGTGCTGCTGTTTTCCTTCTCTGTCGTTTCTGCTGCAGATTCTGGTGCTGAACACGAACACTCAGGAGCTGGTGGCTTCGTTCAGAGTCACAACGGGAACCAGCAACACCACCGCCATCAAGTCCATCGAATTCGCACGCAAAGGGAGGTGAGAGGCCGCAGCAGGGCTTCCTGTGCTCAGACCAGGGCTGGAGCTCGTGATCTTCTCAGCTGATCAATCAGTGGTTTGGTCTCAGGACAAAACGGTGACAAATGAGGATCAGAGTTTCCAGAGATGTTCGGTTTAGTGTCACAGAGGAAAGAAACCAGAAATATTCACTGAAGAAGCTGCACAGATTTCAGGCTGTTTTAATAAAATAATTATGTGAACGGATTAATGATCAGAGGAGCTGGTGATTCGTTTATTAGTCGATAATAGATCAATAGTTTTTGCAGCTCCGTTGTCAACATTGACTAGTTTCATTCAGTCGATGCAAACTGCCTGCATGTGAGTCAGTCTGAAGTGAAGGTGCTTCGATCTGAAAGTCTGATTAATCAGTGTTCTGTCTGGACTTAAATCTGAACCTTTCACGTGGAGTTTGGTTGGATGGAGGTTCTGCAGCTGTTCAAGTGTTGGTTATTGCCCGGCAAGTCGTTTGGTCTCTGAAATGTGAGACATTGGTGAAGAAGCTGTGAGGTCGGAGCCGTTCCTTCTCTAACGGCGCTTCTTTGGTGTTTCTGCAGCTGCTTCCTCATCAACACAGCAGATCGGATCATCAGGGTTTACGACGGCAGAGAGATTCTGACCTGCGGGCGGGACGGTGAGCCAGAACCAATGCAGAAACTACAGGACCTGGTCAACAGGTACGACAGCTCAGGTTCTGAAATGCTTCCATGAAGGACGCGGCAAAGATAGATCTGTGGAGCATCGTTCCACTTTGACACGTTTTCACTCCTGTGCTGAGTTCTGTCAGAGTTTCAGTCTCGCCCTGCTGTGTTCTGTGTGCTCAGGACTCCGTGGAAGCGGTGCTGCTTCTCCGGAGACGGCGAGTACATCGTGGCCGGCTCGGCCCGGCAGCACGCCCTCTACATCTGGGAGAAGAGCATCGGCAACCTGGTGAAGATCCTGCACGGGACCAGAGGAGAGCTGCTGCTCGATGTCGCTGTGAGCTTCACATTAACACACTCATTCTGATGATGACTTTCAGTTTGTCGGATGCTGCTGGTCCGCTAACCGCCTTCCCTTCGTCTTGCTCCAGTGGCATCCGGTCCGTCCCATCATCGCCTCCATCTCCAGCGGAGTCGTGTCCATCTGGGCTCAGAACCAAGTGGTGAGTGAACGGTGTCACAGATGGATTATTGTCAGTCGTAATCCTTCATTATTATTATTACTGTTATTGTTGTTAATAGTAACAATAACAATATAATGATAATTTCTTCAGTGATCCATATTTTCCTCCAAACTGTGGAGATCTGACCTTGAACCCTCTGAACCCTAAAACCTGCTGGAGGGTTTGAATCAGGTTATTTTTAAATAGACTCAGTTTATTAGAGCCAGAGACTGTAGGAACTGAACTCAATCAAAGGCTTTTCACGTTTCTTACATCAGGTGCAACGATCAGTTTCTTCAGGAGAACCAATCTGAGCTTCAGCTCTGACACCAGATCAGTTCTACAACCATCCAGGTGTCACAGTCTGATCACTGGACCTGGTTCTGTACAGCACAATATCAGAAAATGATTCATCCTCAGAATGAACCCTGTCTGTAGATGGTCCTGGTAGGTTCTGGAGGTGAAACGATCCTTCTGTTGTCTAGAACTGGTTCTGACCGACCACCGTACACATTCTGATAGGATCAGAAACCAGAAACACGCCCAGGGTACCGAGGACTGATCCAAACTAAATGTACGTTTCGGTGCATTCTGGGTAAACCGGACGTCGTTTGTCATTTCCGTCGTCATGGTGTGAACATTTGGTTTGTCTGCAGGAAAACTGGAGCGCCTTTGCTCCAGACTTCAAAGAGCTGGACGAGAACGTCGAGTACGAAGAGCGAGAATCTGAGTTCGACATCGAGGACGAAGACAAGAGTGAACCCGAGCAGACAGGTGGGTGACAGACAGACAGACAGGTGGGTGACAGACAGACAGACAGGTGGGTGACAGACCAGTGAAGTGGGCGGGTTTCTTGTTTCCTTCCATCCTGAACGTTACAGGTATTTGTGCGGAGCGCCTGCTGCTCAGAGAACCTGAACTGGGTCTGCTGGTTTCACTGGTTTCCTCCTGCTGTGTTCCAGGTGCCGACGCTGCGGAGGACGAAGAGGTCGACGTTACCACCGTTGATCCTATCGTGGCTTTCTGCAGCAGGTGAGAAAGACGAATGAATCTCAGAGGTTCTGATTCTTCCGGGTGACTCTGACCCATCTTTAACAGGCTTTTAGTCTTCAGTCTCACACTGTAGACCTGCTGTGTTCTGAGCTTTAGAGACTTAATTAACTGGTACCATCTTGTTTTAAAACTTGTATCAACCTGCAGATACTCTCCTCATGGTAATCTGATTACATCGGGCCCCGGCCTTTATTGCTCTTGTTTTCACTGTGTCATTGAACTGATGCTCTGCACCGATTAAACTCTGCTTCTTTGAAAGTTGGAGACACATCCAGCTGGCCATCTGAATAAGTCTGATCAGAGTGTCCTCTGTGTGCAGCGACGAGGAGCTGGAGGACTACAAGGCCCTGCTGTACCTGCCCATCGCTCCCGAGGTCGAGGATCCGGAGGAAAACCCCTTCGGACCGCCGCCGGACGCCTCGGTTCCGGCTGCCGCTCCAGACGAGGCGCTGGCCGGCAGCGACAAGAAGCAGCGACAGCCTTCGTCTGAGGGAGGTCCGGCCAAGAAGAAGGCTCGGACCACCACCATCGAGCTGCAGGGGGTTCCCAGTGACGGTGAGGACTGGACCATCGGTTGGACTGTCAGGGTTCTCACCAGCTGCAGTGCGTTAGGAGCTGCATCACAGACGGCTTCACCGTCCAATATGCTGCCACCGGTGTTATCAGCACTGGAAAAAGTAGAAGCTCCACATACTGTAGATATTTACCTGTTTATATATTTCATTAGTAGCTCCACAAGCTGACGGAGAAAACCTGTGTCCTCTACATGTCAGTACACGTATCCTAGACCAACTGCAGTACCTGGTTGTTCCAACAGGTGGAGCCTCTCAATGTTTAATTCTGTAGAGACCAGAGGAGGCGTCACTCAGGCCTTGTCCACACGTAGCAGGGTTTTATTAAAACGAATACCCTCCCCCCTACACACCACCTGGTTTTTAGAAAAAAAATGTAAACACAGATCGTACATGTGACGTAAGAACATATTTAGTCGCAGGCAGTGACGTCTGGAAACCCAAAA